ACTTAAAGTACAATAAAAAACAAAAAGCCTACAAAAAAAGAATAATTAATTATGATATTTTTCTCATATCCTATGGTATACTAAAGGCGAACATCAAAGATAGCTTCAGGCTAAAACATGGAGATAAATTTTCCTGGATGTAAAATTAAAATCTATCCAGATGTTTTTTCTATTCCTGACCCAGGACTTAAAAACCCAATTCAACATTTTTCTCTCTACAAAAATATTTAAAACCATGTTCTTTCCTGACAAAGTTTTCACATTCATATCTATTTTGCTCATTAACCCATTTATTCAACTAAGAACTATTTTGAAACGGATAGCCTGGGTAGAACTTGTATGATAACAGAGAGAGGCCATCATAAGTAAGGGAGCAAAAGTTAAGGAAAGAGGAAACAATAATATTATAAAGGTAAATGTAAAATAAATTGAGTTTTAAAAGTTGTCTATTATTTATAAGAAACTATTCTAAATAAGATGAAAAAGAAATCTTGAAAATAAAGGGATATGCAAAACTGAAGAAAAGGGAAAACAGTAAAATAAAATCATGCTATTCCTTAGTTATTTTGAGAAAGTCTTCTAAACAAAGTGATAAAATTTTGAAAATGAAATGACATGTCAAGATATGTAGGCAAATTCAAGGAAAAGAAAATCAAAAGTGATGACAATATTGATATTTGACAAGGTGGAATTCAATTCCAAAAGGAGGAAACAGGAAAAAAAAGAGAAACATTTTGTAATGATAGAAAGTACAATTCGTGAAGAAGATATAACAGTCGTAAACTTTCATGCACTGTATAAGGAAGGAGCCATGCAACCAGAATCCCTAAATGCAGAGACCACACACACGCACAAAACCAGAGTGAGGTTTTTTAATATGCACACACACACACTCACACACACAAACATGATGAAAATCTCATATCTATATCTCACATCTACAATCCCAGTGCCTTGGGAGGCCAAGGAGAGGCCAGGAGTTTGGGCCTCCAGTGAACTATGATTGCACCACCACTACACTCTTCCAGCCTAGGTACAGTAACAGAATGAGACTCTGTCTCCCAAAAAAAAGTTACATAAATAGGAAAAAATATAGGATATTTAAATAATACCATCAACAGGCTTGGTAATATGGAATATTATAACATATGGATGTGACAATATACATTCTTTTCGCTTACAAACCATTTACAAAAGTTAATGCAAACTCGTCTACAGAGAAAACCTGTGCAACATAGCAAGACTCTGTCTCCATAAAAAAAGAAAATATTTGCCGGACATGTTGGTGTGTGACTGCTTGAGCCCAGGAAGTTAGAGGCGGCAGTAAGCCATAATTGTACCACTGCAATAAAATTAATTAATTAGTTTTAAAAAATCTGAAATGTTTAGAATGGAACGGTTGGTTAAATTGACAAAATTTATAAAATACTTGAAAACTAACGATTTAAAGGTGACTCACTCTAACCCCCTAAAAAATAACAAATTGGATTTTAAAATGAAAACATTGGAAATTAAGAAAAAATTCTCTAAGTAGTCTCAGAACAACAACAACAAAAAAGTAAAAATTGAAAGTACAATTTTACAGACTAAAAAAAAAGAAATGGAAAAAATGGGGACTAGGATGGAAACTACTTCATCCAAACTCTGTACTTGAGATGTGAGCAAGGAGGTACAAGCACACGAGTGAGTTTATATATAGATTCCCAAGAAAATCTTACACAAAAAAATGGATATTTCAATTCTAGGGGAAAAAAATGCTTTCTTTAGTAAAGGATCCCAGTATAGCTGACTGTCCATCCACAATAAGACAAAAGTAGACATTCTTCATGACATATTAAAATAAATTCTAGGCCGGGCGCGGTGGCTCAAGCCTGTAATCCCAGCACTTTGGGAGGCTGAGGCGGGTGGATCACGAGGTCAAGAGATCGAGACCATCCTGGTCAACATGGTGAAACCCCGTCTCTA